CCGCACCGCTGACCGGCCAACTTTATGTTTTTTTCTTTTTGTTTTTATATGAAAAGCAGCATTTCAAGCAGTGCGCTCGCTTAATTGATAGAGACTGAGCGCGCGGCATAAAACGTTTAACACCCGTGCAGTTAAAACGAGTGCGCTATCGTCACCCCACCCTGCTGCGTTCGCCATGATTTTATTTTAAAATTTGTTTGTCACGGTTCATTACTTGCGAGCGCGTCGCTTTTGTTTTATTGTTGTGGTTCAACTCAGGATGCTTTGCCTTCAACTGTCGCAAATCACTTGCAACTGCCTCTATAGTTGCTCTAGTAGTAGTAGTAGGTGCACATGCGCCTCGACAGTATAGCCCACTTTATGACAAGATAGTACTCTCAGTAAATGCCATTACGTTTGCTTGGTGGTTTTTGCTGCTTCTGCTATGGGCTGTCAATCTGTTGATTGGCTTAAAAAAAAATATTGCAGTTGTTATTGTTTACGGTCGTGGTTGGCATTGTTGGCGCTGTATATGTACTTAAACATATACACATATGATGATGTAATAACCGTGACCTGAATCTTATGTCAGGTGTAACGTTCCATGTTTGCGGTCGAAATGGCTTGGCACTTTGGCGCTTTTGTAAATAGTATTATTATGATTTTAATCTTTTTTGTAGCTATACTTAACTGAGCTTGACTCCAATGTGGCGTCGGATTACGTATGGTACAAATATGGATATCTAAATAGTACATATTTACATATGTACATGTACAATACATATGTATATGCATGAATATAAAACAAATATGGAGCGTGCATGCTCAGATACATATATATTCGCAGATTTCATAATACAACTTGAGAAGCCATGAAATCAGCGCGAATTTGGCGACCTTTGGTTGGTTGGATGGATGAGGAATTACAAGTGATATGCAAGCTGATAAAACAAAAGCCAATTGCTTATCGTCAAGTGGTATTAGCTGTTGAGTTAAGATGGAGTCAGGTGGCCGGAGGTGAAGTAAGGTGAGCACTATAACATAATATAAAACATCCTAATCTTCAGATATATCTTTGACTCTTTTTTTTTGTATATCTACCTTTACATCTTTATCCGTTTCTTTATTTTTATTTTTTATCTATGCCTTTGTCTTCATGTTTACCTGTTTTTTCATCTTTGTCTGGGTCTTTGTTTTTATCAAATTTTTTTCTTTGTCTTTCTTTTCATCTTTGTCTTTGTTTTCGTTCTTCTCTTGCTTTTTGTTTTTGCATTTGTCTTTGCCTTTGTGTTTGTTTTAATCTTAGACACATTCTTTATATTAACCAGTGTTACCGTTTTGATCCATTTACTTCAAAAGTGATAAGTGTTTGTGCAACTTTTCAGAAGATACTTTATTTTTTTTTTTCGCTCATTTCGCGAGATACGTACATAAATTTTCCGCGTAATAAAAATTTTGATACATTACAAAGAGAAAATATATACATACATGTGTATGCAGTCGCAGCTTTTAAGATTTGATCGAAAATATTAAACGTTTTGCGGTAAAAATAAGCTTTTTGAATTTACCTTGCTTGCCTCATACATAGCTATGCGGCTCCAATTTTAAAATTGATCCAATATAAAGGAGAGATAGACTTTCATTACAAACTGCTGAGAAAATAACGAGGCGTATTCATGGTCAAAATAAAGTGGACACTGAAGGTAGTTTCATCTTTTTGGCATAATTTTCAACGAGTTTAACGTTTAATTTTATAATCAGCGTAACTGATCACCAGTTAATAGTTTTAAGTACATATGTATATATTGTATTCAAGTTTCTCTCGCTGTATCTAAGATATTTTTCTTCATGTACATCAGTGATGCCTAAGAGAGCTTTTACTCTGTGCGCGTCCATATAAAAAGTATAGAGAGCTTTGAAGAGTTCCGCCCACGGGCGCTATTTTTGAGCATCACTAATGTACATACATTTGTATGTGTACGAATGGGCATTACATGATTTTTTTTTGTTTATTGGCAATTTTTTGTTTTTTTACGATAAATTTTTTCATTATGTCGCGGCAACACTGATCTTAACTCATTTTCATTTTCATCTTCCACTGCACCGTCGGACTCATCCTCAGATTCGGCTTTCTTTTCATCTTCCTCTTGATCTGGACTTAGCATGTGGCAACCCTTTTCAAAACCTTAAACCAAATTTCACATCTATAGGTCAAGCGCATAAATTTTGAGTTGTAAAGAGCCAGTCAAAAGGGAAGAACCCGCCTGCATATCAGAACAACAACCAAAGTGAAAATATCCTAACTGTTAAAGCAAAAATAATAGCCACTTAGAGAAAAGTACTAATAAATACATATGTATGTGTAGACAATTTAATTCGTGGAAATAATGGGTAAGGCGTCCTCAAGTGGGCACCGAATTTACCAACATTAATATTTTTCAATAATATTCAGGCAGCGCCGAGTTTTGTAGTCGCGTGGCTTGTTGACTTCTTGCGTAAGAAAGAAAATCACGTTTCAATGGTTCCACTTTTATTTCTCAAGCTCGAATTTCGCATGCCCGCGGGCATTCATTACAACCAAACTATATCGAAATGCACGCATTTTTTCATAGATAAATGCAGAAATGTTTATTACATATGTAAGTTGTTGTTAAACATTTTCGTCCACGAGGCGCAGAAATTGCTTAAAGTTCAATCAAAAAAAAAAAAAAAAAAAAAAAAATGATTGAAAAGCAAAAACAAAATATTTTTGTAACGCAAATAATTTCATTGTATAGTTTAATGTTTCTTAAATCTGCACCCAAAAATTTTTTTCATTCCGACACTTTCAAAGAAAAATAAAAACTTCCAAAACTTTGCAAAAATTTTCAATTGTTGATTAAAAAAGAACTATTTGGAATTTTGCAACAAAAATTACAAAAATGTACTGTTCGACTACAAAACTCGGCGCTGCCGGAATATCATTGAAAAATATTAATGTTCGTAAATTCGGTGCCCACTTGAGGAAGCCTTAACCAATGCAAAAAGATGCAAAGGCACGAGATATAATGCAGTGTGGATAAAAAGTGAAGAATTGCATGAATCACATACAAATGTGTATACATACATTTTTTACAAGAACAAAGCAGTTTAAATTTATAACATTTTCATACATTTTAAGATGCTTACATATGAATGCTTATACGTATGTACAATTATATGCATTGTATGTAATTATGCAGCTTATAAATCTTGCAACTGCAAGCATTACAAAATGTAGTACAAAGTTTACCTTGCACTTCAGTCAGCAAAAAAAATTATAACAAGAGAAGAACATAAATATACGGGTATACTATTGTACTGAGAATGGCAAAAAAAAAAATATATTAACACTTGAGAGCAGCAATTATTTTTACATTTCCATTTAACATTGCAAGCATTCTTTAATGGAGATCTTAGACTAAAAACTCTGACTGACTGGGGGGTTGAAGGTTAAAAACGGATTGTAGAAGATAGTTAGTAGTTTAAGACAGGAAATATTGGAGGTAAATATTTAAAAAAAAAAAAAAAACGCCGCTGCGTATGAGTAATTTTTGAAGTGAAATTTTTTTAGCGGCGGTTAGTTGGTTGGGTGTAAATTGGCAAATTCAACGGCAATTGCACACGGAAATGGTGCAACGGAAATGGTGCAACGGAAACGGTTGGGGCTGAAACAAGTGGTTCTTGAGTGTATGCACATGGAATGAATTTAACAAAAACTTGCTAATAAAAGGATAAAGAATAACATTTAGAAAAAAACCAATACAAGAATGAAAGAAAAGGGGAGTACGTACGTAGATAAAGAAAAGGATAAAGGCAACGGCAAAAATAAAAACAAAAACAAAGATGCGTAAAGATAAGGGCAAAAATTAAGAGCAAGGTAAATTTTAACACTTAACTTAAGTGAAGGGGATTATGTAGATGAAGAAGAGTATAAACACAAAAGTAATAAAAACAAAGATAAATATAAAGAAAGATGAGGATGAGGATACCGATAAAAGTAAAGATGAAGATAGAGGAAGAGCGATTAAAGTAAAGGTAATTATAGAGAAAAGGATATAGATGGATACACAGAGATATTTTTATCGATTTTCTAAACGATTTTGTTATAAATTTTTTTATCGATTTTGTGATCGATATTTTTATCCATTTTCTAATCGATTTTGCTACCAATATTACTATCGATTTTGCTATCGAAATTTGTAACGATTTTGGTATCGATATTTTTAACGATTTTGTTATCGATTGTTTATCGATTATTTATCGACTTTGTTATCGATTTTGTTATCGATATTTTTATCGATTTTCTAAACGATTTTTATTACCGATTTTATTATCGATTTTGTTATCGATATTTTTATTGGTTTTGTTATCGATATTTTGTTGGATGTTATTATCGAACTTGTTATCGACAGAGTATAAAGATAAAGAAAACAGAATAACATATACATTTATTTATTAGAACGAACAGGGGTAGAGGTAGGGATCTAAGGCCTCTATGCAGCTCTCAAGAAAAGCAAAAACTCCATATAAAATGACGTACAAGAAATGGCTAAGAAATTTTCTTGAGTCAAATTTCCTTAAGGCAGTACGCAGTTCTTAAGAAATTTACTACGCTTTCTACTACGGTTTTCTAAAGTTTTTTGTGAAAAAAGAGCACAAGGGAACCCAGGTTTGCAACAGAAATATATGCCCGTTCCATTATTTCTTGAGGAAAGAGTGAGGCAACAGGCTGTGAGGTATCAAAAATGTCAAAATTCCTTGGACACACACGCGAAATAATGGCAATTTTTTCTTGACCGTTTTCTTGAGAGCTGCATCTCTATAGAAAAAAGACAAACAATTTTAACCATAAGCAAAAGCAGACGTATATTGGTTATGAGACACGTAAGTTTCACTTCTCCAGTGTGGCCCAGGCGCACTTACTTTTTTTATGTATTTAGGTACTTTAAAACATGAAGCAATTGTGTAATTATTTAATAAAAATTTGAATCAATACTTACTCGTGTTACAATCACCATTATTGAACTTCATTGACCAATTTTAGCGTAAAATATTCGAAATTTTCCAAATAAGGTAGAGGAAAAATTTAAATGCGACTACTGGCTGAAAAGAAAGAAGAAAACGGAACATGAGAATGGTATTCCACAATGGACACTGGGAAATAAATTAAAAATGTTGAGCGAATAAAATGCGTTAACATAAAACATAAGATTCAAAATATACAACCAAAATATATCAAATAAAAAAAAACAACAACAAAAATTTTAAACCCAAAAAAAAAAAAAAAAAAAATAAAACAAGAATTAGTTAGTTAGATAAAAACACCGAAAAAATAAGATCTAAAAACAAAACACAAAAAAATAATTAAACAAAGAAAAACAAAACGAATAAAATAAAAACTAAAAAATAATTTTATGTAAATTTTTAAAATTAATACTAATACAAAAAGACAAATTTTATAAAAATTCACTTTAGTGAAAAAATGTTTTGTAAAAATTTTTATAACTTAAAAATGTTTCACTTATCATATTTTGAGCGATTTTCGTGCTTGTTAATTTCGGACTGTTTGTTTTTAAGACACAAATAAACGACAAATGGAAATACGGCTGTTAATTTTTGTTGTTAATTTAGATATCAGAGAATTTTCAAGATTTGATGGAATTCTCCGTTATTTGTTTGTAATTTTTATAGGCATTCCAGTATTTTTATGAACTTTAATTCAGGTAATTTTCGATACTTTCCGTGATTTTTCAGAATGTATTTGGGGGCTTTTATGGATTATTCGTATTATTTAATGTTTTATTCAGGTCTTTTTGAAAATTTTCCTGCTTATTGAAGACAGCAGGAGCTCCTTGTAATTTGCCAAGTTAGTTCTTAGATTGTTTCGAAATTTTTAGAAAAATGTCAGTATTTTTATGAAATTTTTCTAGACCATAAAGGAATTTTTTCGGAACTTCTCGGAATTTTTTTTTGGATCCCTGTGAGAATCGCGCTTAAGATTTTTACTAACCTATAGTGTTTTATTCGGATATTTTCGAAAATTTATTAGCAGATAGTTTGTGTATTTTTTTTTAATATTATGTATTTGAGATTTTGAAGATTTTATATATATATTTTTTTTAATTCTTGGTACTTTTTGGATGTCTTTTGAAATTTTTGATGACATTTTAATATTCTCATAGATTTTTCTGGACTGCTTGAGCTTTTTCAGGTCGTTTCGGATCTCTTTACCGAGTTTTTTGATTATTCGTATTTAATAATGTTTTACTTGGCACCCTTTTTTGGATTTTCCGTGACTTTAAGGATATTTTGTGGATATTTCACTAAAATTTACAAGGTAAGTTACGGATATTTTCGAGGCAATTCGGCATTTTAAGAAGCTCTTTGGGAGTTTTTCGGGACTTTTTGTGTGGTTTTTCGGAATTATTCGGTATTCATCGAGTTTGATATTGTTTCACTTCTGATCGTTTGAGATTTTTCGTGACTTTATGAATACACGAAAAATATAAAGCAAAATGTTGTAGACTTTTCTTGCCCAAAATAAGGGTAGAGCTTAGTATCCAGCTTTCAAGAAAAATCCCAGAAATCATTTTCAATTCTTTCTTTCGTTGCTGCATGTAAAGTTCGTGAATAAATAAATATACGAGTATATTTTTCTTGAAGTAAATTAATTTTCAATTTCTAGAGCTTTTCTTGAGAGCTGGATACTATGCTTAAATTGAAATTAAAATACAAAATCTAAAGCAAGCTGAAGCGCAAATAAAACGCTTTTAAATATAATTTATTTATTTTTTCTTCATTCGCCAAACACAAGCACCCTGTATCGTTCACCTTAAAAAGATGTGTGAAGTTTCGAGTAGAATCAAAGCGCAAACCGGCCTACAAGTTGTTAATTTATTTTTATTTTCTCAAACATATGTATGTACATACATACAAACTCACTGGGGCAAACACATGCCTTTACACAAATAAACGATGTACATACTATACATAAAAAAGACATTCCATGCTGTCATAGTTAATATAACTTGTATTGTTGCATTTGTTGTATGTACTTAGTTAGTTGCTGCTTTGCTGTTGCATTTCGAAATGCAATGGTTAACACTTTTCGCTTTACCTTGTCGCCGCTTACGTCGTCACCATCATAGACGGCAGTGCCTTGAATTTGAGGTGAAGTTGAATGAAATTTACGGTAAATTAACTATTCGCCGGCCGAATGGTCGGTAGCTCGGCCGGTTGGCGGCAATGCAACACAAATGCAGAGCAAAAACAGAGAAGAAGCAGCAGCAGCTAGTACAATAACATTTAGCATTGAAGTGTAGATGCGATATGATGGCAGAGTTGCCACATGATTGTTACCAACTGTTGACCAGTTAGCTCAACGCTTTTAAGTTTGTTTTTCATTTTTTCTTTCGATTTGCTCAACGCTGGCGGCGTCTGCAGCAGCTTCGGAGTAACACAGGAGAATGTGTGCAACAATTTGGTTGCATGCATTCCCAACTAGTTAGATTTAGTGCTCGCTCAAACTGGCGTTCAGCAGACAGTCACAGACACGATGCAATTGTTGCAAAGTGTAAATAGTCGGCATTACATATCAGGCTATATACATACATATGCATGTACGTTAGGGCGGCCCAAAAACAGTAGTCTGAATTGTAATTGTACTCTATCGAAAAAGTATACTAATCTTTTTTTAGTTTGAAATCAAAAAATATTTAGAGGTCGCTCGAAGCGCTCAAAGTTTTCCATGCACTTTCATATGGGAAAAAGCAACTTTTCGTAGAAATGGTATAGAATTCTTGAAAATAAATATTTTTCGATCGGAAAACTCTTGTTCTGCTCAGGAGATTTTCAAATTATAGTACCCAATTGTTTATTTAGCCATTTTTAATTTGTCCCCCATTGCATTTTTCGGGATTTTCGTGGGTTTACGGCGGACCTATAAATTATAGTTGCGATAAAAAAAAAAGGTTAAATAAACAATTGGGTATTATTATTGGGAATCTCCTTCAGATAAGCAGAGTTTTCCGATAGAAAAATATTTATTTTTAAGAGTACTATACCATTTCTGCGAAAAAGTGGTTTTTTCCCCATATAAAATAAATACATGTAAAACTTTGGGCGCTTTGAGCGACCTCTAAATATTTTTTGATTTTAAAATAAAAATATACGGATATATTTTTTTCGGTATAGAACAATCCTAGGGGGTGAGAGCATAAAAATTCCGACTTTACTTTTTCACATGCATTTTTGGACCACCCTAATGTGCATATGTACATATACATATGCGGCGGCAATTATATAGGAAATTATTATGTGACACGCAAACGCGTTGAAAATAGTTTTTCCTGCTAAGCGGCGGCTTTTTTCTCTATTTATTTATTTTTCTTAATCTGACTTTGCTTTCGTGCGTGCTGCACTTGCCACATGCGGTGGAGCTGTTTTTTTTTGTGCACACAAATGTTTTGTGGTCAATCTCGATTTTTGTCTAGCTGCTTTGTGCCACAGCAGTATACGGTATTTTTAATTAGACGCATGCGCGTAGTTAAGGCATTTAGCCAAAGCCAACTGCAATGTTAAATAAATTAAGTAACGAACAAACACACTTACATACATACATACATACATACATACATGCGGTGTCTATGTATGTGCATTTGTATATTTTTAAGTAAAAATTTTAAACCTAGTTGCATAATAAAAATCTTGGCAAAAAATATGAACAGCTTGGAATTTTGTTAATTAAACATTTTTCCGGATTTTTTTTTTTTTGCAACATACGCATATTTTTAGCTTGCTGCGCTTCTGTGCACATGCGTAAGTTTATTTCCTTGAAAAGTTGTAGACATAAACTGATAATTTTTTAAAACAAAGTCAAATATGTAACTATCGCGGGGAAGTGGATTCCTCTTATAAGTGATTGAGAGAATCCACAATCGGTCTATGGCAAATCGATTCAGGGCCTGAGACTGAAGTCATTGAATTGAATTGTGTACTTTTGCGACAGCTGAGCCAGTGTGGCATCAGGCTACCAGAAAAGCCCCATTTTTTCCAAAACAAAAGCGCCAAGTTTTTATTATTACATATGTTTAATAATTTTTTGATTCAGTAAAAATTGTACATACATACATACTCGAGTCCCAGTGAAAGAAATCTGATGAGGAAATGTCGTGATGTCCGAAATAGCTATAACTTCTACAATTATAAAGTTATTGTTGTTCTCCCACAATAGGTTTTCCTTAAAAAAAAAAAACAGCCTCAAGCTCAATAAAATTGTTGAATACTACTATTTTATTGTTAAAAGATTTGGTGTTTTTTTTTTTAATATATTTTATAGTTTTAAAAATAACTGTTTTAAGTCGTAAATTTATGTACCACTTATAAAGGAAAATAATTAAAAACAAGTAAAGAAGTATAAGTTGGGGCGAAACCGAAATTTATACAGTGCCGGACAAAAGTATTGGCACAGAGAATTTTTCGCAATATCTGAAAAGTTTTTTATTCTAACTTATTTTCGATAATTTTTTATAAATATATAGACCGTCCTACACCAAAAAACATAAAAACTAAATCTCTAAATTTTGTGCAAAACTCAGGAAAATTCAATAAATTTGCATACTTATTTGCAACTTTCTATTCAGATTTTTTAGAAAAATTCTAAGTATGCAGTTTTATAGCTCAACTAATTTTAGTATAACAAAGTGCAAGCTTGAAGGTGCTAAAAAATCGCATTGATTTTTGGCACTTTTTTTCAGTCAGGTTCTTCCGTACAAAGTATGTTCGACAATTATTTTTTGTATGGAGAAAATGAGCAACACCTTCTACTAGAAAAATGTCCAAAAATCAAGGCAATTTTTTAGATACTTCAAACTTGCACTTTGTTATACTAAAATTAGTTGGGCTATAAAACTACATACTTAGAATTTCTCTAAAAAATCTCAATAAGAAGTTGCAAATTAGTATGCAAATTTATTGAATTTTCCTGAGTTTTGCACAAAGTTTAGAGATTTTGTTTTTATGTTTTTTGCTGAAGTACGAACTATATTTTTATTAAAAAATATTGAAAATAAATTGGAATAAAAAACTTT